TGATGTTCGATCAAAAATCATCACCAAACATTGCATTCGATCAAAGTTGTTCGAATGCCGAAAGAAGTTCGATCAAAGATAAAAACCAAAGTATATTGTTGTTTCACGAAAGATCACAGTTGTCCCCACCTGGAGGGCCTTCGCTGCCGAGACATCGCCCTTCGTCCGAATCAGTTCGTCTCGAACTGCAGCCTTGACCAAAAGCTGAAGATACAAAATGTACAATCGCTGTCTCAACGATTTTGGGGAGAGCGACACTATAGTTGACAATTAGATTGACGGAAGTGGATGAGTGTAAACCGAGAAGCAGCGATGGCGTCCAAGTCCTCGTCAGAGATTGCAGCATCAGGTTTCACCTCCATTGCACGCAATATCACGCAATGCATTTAGCAATGACAAGTTTCAATTGCACATCACGATTTCAAGGTTATTTGGCACCCCTTCACAAACCAAATGCATGCTAGTCACCCTAATGACTTCCTTTCCAAAGAGCTTGATGCAGTAGACACCATTTGGATACCGAGACTTGCTAGTGCTGATGTGATTTGGGTCCTTCTGTCTCCCGGCCGGGCGCTTCATGGGCACTGCACCGCCAGAACCGGAGGCCCCAAGAGATGCAGCTTGTCGTTTCATGGGCACTGCCCCTCGTGGTTCCACAGGGTCGGAATCCTTGGGTGCCTCAACCTTCTTCTTGGGCTTTGGTTCAACAACCTTGTTGGGTGTTGTTTTCGGGCCCCCTTTCGCCTTTGGCGTTGCCTGGCATTTTGCCTTGGCTTTTGCAGATTGTCCAGCTTTTGTTTGAGCTGGCCCTTTGGTGTCAGCATCATCACTAAGTGCGTCCACCGAATCCAAAACCATTGCAACCCTGTAAACTATTCTATGGAGCCCTCGATCCAATGGAAAACTTCAAATGCAGCAGAGATTGAAAAGACATTTATGTATCGACCTTTAGGCAGTCGCTGTACACACATGTCTGGCGTCGCATCGACCCGGCACGCAGGTGTTTCCTGGGCGTGGAGCTTGGTTTGATCACCGCTGTGAGGCACCCCAGGCATTCGTGTGTTGCCCTTGCTGCCAACTGAAACGAACCCCCAAGTTTCACAAGACTCATGAGATTGACATCATGTTTTTTGGGGGCAATGAGATTGAGCAATGAGATTGACATCATGTTTTGGGGGCAGCCATGGACACACAAAACCCATATGCCAACTGGTTGCCGCTATCCCAAATGAAGCTGCCCCACAAAAGTCTACTGGAGCGAGACTGCCGTCTTGGCAGGTACACTGGTCACACTCAGCCAATAATATTTTGGCTTGATCGGTTGCAAAACGCATCCGTCACACGGACCTTCAGGGTATAAGCGATACCAAATGATCCACTGTCAGAAACATGGGAGCTCAATGAAACCACACTTACATGCAAAACCGGTCTTGATCTTCGTTTTGGTTTGTCAAGACGCACCTCCCACACCACTTGGCAATTGGATGACTTCGGCAGCTTCTCAAAGTTTGTGAAGCAACCCCCAAACTGGCTGTAGCGGGCGTTCATGAGATCTCCATCGACAGCCTTCGGCTTGAAGCAATTGACCTTGCTCTTGGGAGTGACTTTGAAGCGAAATGGCCTTTCGACAGGCCCAGCATCTGTGTCCTGCCAGTGGGTTAGAGACAAGCCTGGTTGATTTGTATTGCTGACACGCAGTTCATAAGTAGGTGGAACAAAACACAGCATTGGTTCCAGGTTCACAATTCATCCTTCGTCATTGGTTCCAGGTCGTGATCGACCATGGTCACTTCAGTGATGCCGCGGGTTCGGGTTACGAAGCGCAAAACGTCCGCGACCGTCATCAATTTCTTGTTTGCGCTCCCATCGCTGGTGGTCACCAACGCGACCACATCAAGGTCTGACGTGATCATCCATGGGATGTGATCCACGGTGGTGCTGGCATCTCCTGGCAGGAATTGGGGTTGTGAGTGGAGGTGGAGTGAGGTGATTCGAAACGGGACAACCAAGGAATACCGGATCTAGCGAAACATGGTTTGGGGACAACCAATCAACCCTTCAAGTCCTGTTGTCAACTCGCTGAATCCACCAACATTGAACCCAAAGAGCTCTCGGGCCGACAGTGATTGGTTCGATGCGCTGTCGTTGATCAACCAGAAGGACTCATCGTTGACATCCTTGCCCACATGTAGCTCCAAGTTGTGCAGGGCAGCTTTGCAATGCAGCCTTGATTCAACACAGCACACGGGCAATTCATCTAGACATGATATGGGAGGTGAAGTGGGGTGGAGTTGGAAGTGGAATCCCCAAGAAAAGGTCCACATAGGTCCACACAACAAAAAGATTCTCATAAAGTACACATGAACGTTCGGCCAGTGGTGAACTCATCCATGGGCTTGGTGGTCACGGTTACACTTTTCTCGAAGTTGGGGACTGCGCAGCCGTCATAGTCAGGGCTTGCAACTGTCCGAGAAGGGGTGGCGGTGGGACGGGTAGAGGATGGTGGCTCACACACTGCACTGGTACCAGCCTCCCCAACAGAGCCTTGCAAAGCCGCTGCGATGTTCCGGTCATTCGCAAGTGCGTCCTCCAAAGCTTTCACTTGGGAGGCATGGCTGGCCAGGTATTTGTTCTTGACCAAATCTGGAATCCTGAGCAGAAGCGAACGCAACCCCATGTTGAAGACCCCTTTTGACCCCTTGTTGAAGAAGACACATCTTAGAATTCATTTCTTGAAGTCGAGTATCTTGCAAACCCCATCAGAAACTGTAAGCACCTCCATGCTTGGCGTGGGCTCTGAGAAGCTGGAGCGGGGTCGTCGCTTTGGTCCTGCGTCCCCTGACTCATCCCACCACTTTGACATGAGCATCCCCGCTACGGTGGCACTGTTCTTGCTCATGGTTTTGCCGTCATCTTCCAGAAACAACCCCATGTAGTGGAAAGCCGGGCCCTCCCTTCCATCCACCAACACTGACAGCTGCTTGTTGGCGCAGGAAATGGACCACTCTCCAAACCTAGGCCGGTTGTGGGCACTGGGACGAGAGCAGGTCTTTGCGTTCCACATGTTTGATCACCTTTGGTTTTCCAGCTTTTCGGTGTTGGTCATCATGCCCAAAAAAATCAAGGAGCCGATTGGGCAAACAATCCACCACTAGGACTGGGCGGGAATCCTGCAACTCGAGACCTTCCAGTAGCTTGGCGAGGATGTCACCAGTCGCATCGACGCCGCGTTGTTGAACCTTAAAAGATACCAGCATGATGAAGGCTCCAAAAATAGGTTCCATTATTTAGAGGAAACTTGAACGCGTTCACATGCACCCTAGGAACACGCCAATGGGGCGCAAGTGGCCGATCTTCCTCGGAGTTCTGCAATTCAGAGACTCTTGACCTCTGGATATCGCGGATAGTGCCAAGGACACATTTTGCACGAGAGAATTCTCGGTGCATCCCGCAAGTGAGGGCAAGGCCTTGGATAACATCAGATAACCGCACATGGAGCAGCATGCGCTGCAACTTGCAGGTTTTGATGTGGGAAGATACTTCTTGAAGCGGTATGTTTTCTTGTCAAGATTTGTGTGACACTGCAATTGCCACCCAGTAACACTGTTGGCTGGTCTTCCTCCGGTCGTTTCCATGAACGTTGTCGCAGTAGTTGAGCGAGACCTCATGCACATCGAAGCTCCTCAGGGCCCGAGGAGAAAGCACGAATTTAAAAGCACGAACTTAAACAAATAAAGCGATAAAGCACACACACTCACACCCTGCGACGCCACCACACATGAGATGCCATCAAGCGTCGCCACTGCCTTGTCCTCCAAGATCCTTCGGTGTGCCAGTATGGCTGTATGAGAGCAACTCGAATGCGGCTGCGGCATCAGCACAAACGCCATCGACCCAGCATTTCCTCCACACACCGCCTGCGCCAGCGTGAAGGACTCGTCCACTGACAATGCGCCTGGGCAAAAACTAAAATACACTAAAGATAGTCATGTGACTTTTCTCATTGATAGTCATGTGACTTTTCACGCAAAAACTGTTCACGCTAAAGAACGGTTCGGCCAAAGAGTGCAGTCAATGACGATGATGGTCAGCCTGAGCTGGACAGTGAGTGAGAATGCGGCCACGACTTGAGAACCCGAACCTCAAGCTAAGGAGCGATGATTTCCCCAGCGCAGCTTGCTTCTCCACAATCTCACCCTGTGCCAGCATAAGGTTCTTGTAGCTCCCAAAGACATGGCGCCGGGACATGTAGTTTGCCACAGCATCCTTCCCCTTCTGAAAGCGAGTGGAGAGGTACTGCAAATCGAGCCCACCCTGGTAATACGACACACTGGCCCAACAAACCACAGTTTTGTTGAAACCTATTAGAAACCTATTTGGCAGAAGAAGCGCCTGCTGACTTGCGAAGAGCTTGAACTTGTCGGCCCATCCCCGCAGAGCGTTCATGTCATTCTGGATGTTGAGCTCTGTTTGCGACCACGTCGTTTGCAGCAATGCGGCCTCGAGCCTCAGTGAAACTAAAGCTGCATCAATCAAAACATAATAAAACATAGATAGATATAGATAGCAATACTGTGGAGACTTGCAACTTAGTGTTGATTTCGGTGAGGCCCTAGACCTAGAACATGTTCCAATATGTTCCAATGTGTGATCGAGAGGCTCTGCGGCCTTCTTCACGCCATCATCCTGAACCTGCTCGGCTTTTTGCACGAGGCAGCAAGGGCCGTGGCTGACAGCGGTCGACACGAATTGTAAAGCTCATGTATTAAGGGTTTACGTTTATCCAGCCTTCTTTTGGAACTTGCTCAAATGATTTTTGAACACGTCGACCTTCGACAAGTCACATGGAGGGACCGAGCTCTGAATGAGGTGGAGGAGATCGGCGTCTGCGTGACGGTTGCAAAACCTGGAATGGGGTTTCTCGCAACTCATTGAAACAGATCCATCTAGTTTGTTTGAAGCTTGCGTGAGACTACCTTGAAATTGTGTTCTTTCACGCTCTCATATGTGGCTTGATCTACCAGACGAGAAGCGTTGACACGATCTCCTCCCTCACCCCTTCAAAGTAGCTAGTTGGCACAGACTCCTTGAAGACGGTCAAGCACGACAAGAAACATGCACAAATACGCTGCAGCTGTTCCTTGGCAAGCTCAGGGGTAATAAATTGTGAAGTTGAAGTCTTGACATCCCCACGCAAGCCTTGCTTGGACACATAAACAAATGCAATTGTTCTAAAAGAGTCTAGGTTTTGCTGCGACCATGGCTTCCTCATCTTTATTGCCAGTGACTCGAAATCCTTCTGCATCCGATGTAGTAACAGGTCAACGCAGTCCTGGCTATTCCCTAGGAACTTTTCCCAGGCACCCAGGGAACCAGACACGCCATTGTAGTCTGTATTGAAAATTCCTGCCGCGATCCCGTCGTGTAGGATAAATCTTGGCTGCCCATGAATCCTCCACAGAGTTGGTTTGAGAGCATGGTGGTTGGGAAGTCACAAAAACACCGCCGAATTGCACATACAATCACAAAAAGACACGTGTTTGCTTGGTGTGTTGTGGGAGACCCGCCTGACCAAATCCTTCAGCTTAGTTCGGGTGGACGAACTCACTGATTTCAACAGTGCAGTGGCCGCCGCGGCTTCGGTGCGGCCCACTTGGTAGGCAGCGGCCACGCTGGATGCATCGTCCAAGGACTGGCAGAATGTGGGGATATGTGGGGGCATGGGGGGCCGCCTCGTCAGACCCACTCCATGAGGAAACTCTATATGTATATGTGAGGTGAGTTGGTCCCCCCTCAAATATACTCAAACGGACGGCGCCCTTTTTTGTGATGGTGCCTGGAGGTCCTCCACAGCTTTGTCGCCAGAAAAGCCATCTCGCATTAAGATCTCCATCTGATGTAGCAAGTTGAAGCAGTTGGGGCGTCTTCGAATGGCGCTACTCAGCGTCACTCCTGAAGCGGTCATGGACCATGCACTCTTATGGTAGCATATTCGATACCAAGAGATTTTGTAGCTATGTCAAGTAGCTTGGTCAATATGGTCAATACTTACTCTCAATGGTTGATCATGATGCAAGTGTTTGATCATGTTTGATCAGGGCACCCCGGTGGCACGTGAGCACTTCTTGCAGCCCCACGTTCTGCTTGGTGCAATGGACGCATTTGAAGGTCCTGGTTGAGAAGTGGTTCAACAATGTTCAACGAATGCAGTTTGGCTTGGGGTGACCAAGTAGACGCTAAGGCCAGTGCTCTATCACCTCTTCGGGCATGGCCTGGCTTTCAATTTGTGAAGGTATACTCACACTGGACCAAAGCTCCCTTGCGAAAACTCTTTGGCTACCGGCCTCCATGAGTAAAGGCATCTCATACGCTGCCAGCAAAACCAAGAGCCCGCACACCGAACGATTGAAGCCCTTCACCGCAAACACCGTGTGCGGGGGCAGCAGTTTCTCTCCCGAATCTATACTTAGTTCAGCTGCGGACATCCACATCCTGTGACCAGTGAGCCACTTATCATCCACAGCACATACCACCAGCTTTTCGGTACCCGGTATGTTTGGGTCCGTCAGGAATCCGGAAAGGCCAATGAGCTGACAAAGGCACTTTTGCACTTCCTGATCGAGGGCATTGGAGGGCAGCAGAGAATGACAACGAAACACGAAGTGAAAACATACTAAAGGAGCAATTAAAGTGAAAACATACTAAACACGAAGCGTTGTTCAACATCGCATGTCCCCCGCAAGCCATAGTCAAGTTCGTGTGGCAGCATCCATGGCCGCAAGTAGTGGCTACCAGGTGATGCAAAAGATTCCTCTGTAGCGTATGGCCTCACTAGTTTCATTGGAATTTGGGCATCCACTTGAATTGACTCCAGTTGATTCCCTGAGTCAGTGACACACCATCTTGCCCTGGAAATTTATCCTCGATGAAGTTGTAGAACTCTATGCATGGCTCCTGGCCATGAAGCTTTGCTGCACGCAGGTTTCAATGACGTCTCCTGCGTGGCTGTCCTTGGTGGCCAGCATCTTGTTCAAATAGAGGTCTAGTGCGCCATGATCTCGAATCACTTCATCCCTCGGGTGCAACTATTAACGAGCAATGAACGCTCGACGAAACAAGCAAACATGTTTGAACCAACAATGAAGCGATCATTCAATGAAGCGATCATTCAGCTGAAAGTCAGCCATTCATTCAACAACTTCATATGAGGTCGTTTGGCCGAGTCTGGCGGGATAGCAGGTAGCGAAATTGCTGCAGCTTTAGCTTTAGCTTTAGCTTTGGGATCACCGCTTGAAATCTTCCGCTTGCCGCCCATCGAGGCAAGGACACCCACGGCAATCACCTGGCATGCTGGGACTCTCAGTGGACTGGCTCACCCGCGCACTTGGTTGAAAAGGGTTGGAAAGATTGTTCAAATCCCAAATGAACTTCTTTCGGCCGTAGGGCCAAAGATTATTTCCTGACAGGGTTCCCCACCAGTGGAGTTTGTGCCAAGCATCCCTAGCGAAACGAGAATGGGTTGTGACCTGTGCCAACCATGGGTTTTGTGCCGAGCAGAACATTCCTGAACTAGCTTTTGTGCCGGGTGGGACCTCCCTCCAACGCGGTTTGTGCCGAGTAGCAACTCCCCCCACAAGGTTTTGTGCCGAGTAGCAGCGCGAATCTTCACAAAATGGTTGTTTCCCTCATCTAGAGCAGCCCCTCCAATTTAAAGCTTTATGTGTGTGTGCGCCGAGTGGAAGGTTGCACCCCTCATAAAATGAATCAGCTAGGGAAATATGAACACTCATTCTGAAATCCCATTTGTTGTCACAAAGCAGGGCGGAAGCCTGGCCACCGTGGTTGTGCCTGCGGACATTGTCATTAAGCACAAATCCCCTAAGCCTGAATCTAAAAAGAAGAACATGGGTTCCCAGAACTGTTTGAAAGACAAAACTGGTCCCTGGAAAGGTGAGTTGTGCTTGAAGACAATGCCCGTAAGCACATTCTGAGCAGTCTATTCCCACCCCGCCTTTGTGCATGAGAACCCTTCACAATTGGCGAGTGTGAACTAATCCCCAAATGCACCGTTGTGAAAACACCACCCAGTTTCCTTTGTTAGAAGCATTCATGCATATAGGGTCTGGTATCAAGTAGCGCCCAGCTTTCCCCTCAGCGATCGAACTTGAAGCTCTGGTCTTCTGTCAACGCAGCCGGGCTTTCAAAGCCTTCTTCTAAACCATAAGGCTTTCTATGCGTCGCAAGGCGCTGATTCAATCAAACAGGTTGCTTGCGCAGCACATTTGAACCAGGTTTAGTGGTTTGCAGAAAATGCTGAACATGACTGAAGTGCGCCGAGCAAACGGGCCCACCCCTTGAAAAAGGCTTGAGACATGCTAGGCATCCAATGCCAGATCAGAACACATTCGAAGGTTTCGTTCAACAATAAGCGGGATCAAAGCTCGCCAGCATCTCTCATAGCTGACTCTACAATCGATATGGCTTCGGCCATATCCACCCCCCTTGGACCACAAACGGGCCGCCGCTCTGTACAGAGCTGCTTGAGATGCAGCTCTTCTAAACATTTTTCTTTCTGCAGGTGGAGGTCGTTCGGCAACCAATCGAAGTTCATTTGGAACCTCGACGCAAAAGCCAACACACCTTTCAAACAGTACCTGTCTCACCACCAACCCAGGCCCTACCGTGTTGGAAAACTTACACTTTATTTTGGGCAATGAAATTCAGACCCCCCGGTACACTAACGGGCGCAAAGCCAATATTTTGGAGGGGCCAAGCGGGACTTGGGGGTCAGGTTCCATGACCTCATAGTTTGTTCGAGTGACAGCTTCCAAATTCTGTCCTTCCTCTCGAGGCCGCCATGCGATCCCGGGGCCCACAGAAGGCGAAGCGTTCGGAAAACACCTGGGCCGATTATTCCCATGAAAGTACTTCATGGGGTTTCACTCTGTGATGTCATGAGGTTCTTGATATCTTCACGTCAAACTGAAACCCTCTTTGGGCAGATGGAACAGCTAGGAATCTAACCTGTGCACATCCAAGAGCGGATACCGACCGGTGACATTGTTTGCAAGGTCCTCGATACATTCAGCTGCGCTCACCATGTCAAAGGGAGGTTGGCCTAGGCCAGCAAGGGACCAACTGAGGGCTAAGACCATGTCAGGAACCATCATTTAGTAATAGGGCTTGGGCGTAGAATGGCCGCATATTTTCGCAGGCTCTTGTTCTCATCGCTGTCAATGTTCACCGCGTCATGGATGAAAACTGTCAAAGAATTGATTGAAACATATTGAAACTAATGCGATTACATGCGATTACATTTACATAGACTTTAGCATGCATACTGGGGCTACCAGGACTGCGTCATATGGTTGCATCAAGCATCGTCAAACCTTGGGCGTTGACAGACCTGCCTGGAGGCGGTGCGGCATGGGCCAACACCAGAGCTTGGGAGGCTGGGAGGTACAAGAACTGCTTGGGCTGGTACGAAGGATCACTCATGAACCGCTTGGTCCTGCCAGAAAGCAACCATCAGCATGATTTGGAACGACGTTGCTTCTGTGTGTCAAGTTCTGTAATGTTGACAAAGGGTTCAATCCTGAGGACAACATCATTGGGACTGTGCGCCACATGTCGTCGACGCCAGAATTTGGATATGAGAGTGTTGCGGTCGAGTCCTGCCATCGGTAGGCAAAAGTTTAGATTTAGAAAGTTGAGTTCGAAAGGTTTCGGACATAGACTATAAAGTTTAGAAGTTTCCTGTGTCAGCCAGCCGCTCCAAACGCCACACGTGTGGCGCGCCGGGGCCTCCTATGCCCTTTACGTGCAATCCCTGAAGGTAGTGAGCATAGCGCCCTTTCCTCGCCAGCACCAAAGGCACGCGTGCAGGTGTCACTGGAAGTGGGGAAAGCTTCGAGGCAGTGGGAATGAGTAAAAATGATGCCAATTCTGTTGAAGGGCCAATCATGGAAGCTGTCAAACACAGTGACTTCTCTCGATGGCTCATTGACCCGAACGCTTCTGTTCTCAAACATTTTCTGTAGGGTCTTCTGGAAATCACTGATGTTGTGAAGCTCTCGGAATCGGTCGAGGTAGGAACTGGTGAGGCTGAAATGAGCATCTATGTCTTCATGACTGTGTCCAGTACTTAAGTAGTTGAATTCACAGCCGCGTAGTCTGTGAAGGGCAATCAGGGTGGACATCATGCGCAAACCTGTTTGATGCTTCAACTCACGGCTGCAGTTGTCAGCCTCCAAATGAAGAAATACTGCTGGCCAGTGTATGTAATGCAATTGCTTTGTCATCATGTACGCTACGAGTTCCATGGTCCTCGAACCTGACGCTAGAGTGTTTTGTGGACTGAGCCCGACCAAGATCGCATGGCCGTGTGCAATGATGGTCGTAGCCTGTAAGCGGGGTCTCACCCACGAAGCGAACTCCTTAGCATTGATGGCCTCCCCTTTGGGGTATGCATGTTTGGCTTGGTCCATGCCGTCGCAAATCATGGAGATGTGGGTGACAGGGGCTCCTGACGTGGCCTCACTTCGGCTGCGTGCTCTGTGACTCCAGTAGACTTGTCGGTCGCGATACTGACGGCCCAAATGGGCCTTGTACTGTTCCAGCTGGGCCAGCCGTGCCGGACCACGGCCTAAGCGGCGAATGATGAGCCGGTGTCGGACGCAGACCGAGCAGCGGGCGTGGTGACCTTGTTGCCTTATCCTCAAA